AGCGCCGCCGACCCCCCAGCGCGGCAGCGGGGTAGGTGGGGAGGAAGACTGGCGGAAGGGAGGAGGAAGCGCGCCCCGGGATTGGGAGCAGCCTGGCGGAGAGACTGGGATTGAAGAGCAGCGGGTCCCTCTCCGCCACCCGCTGCGGCAGACTGCATCTGGGGGTACGCGGGGGAGAGGGTCGCTCCGGGGCGAGAGGGCTGGGTAGTACGGATCCTGCGAGCCCCCTGTTCCCGGACAAGCCCCCTTCCGGGTGTGACCACACTCGCCCCCTCCTCCACCACCCGGTAGTGCTGCAAGAGAAGACTCCCGGCCACTGAGCGTGAGTGGAAAGGGGTCGTAGACTTTGCTGGGAGCAGAGGGTTGGGGCGGGGGAGAAAAAAAGAGACGGGAAATGGGGCGAGTAGATTGGGAGAATTGCAAAGGAACGTCTCCGGAATCCAAGTGTGGCTCCAACCCAACCTCCCCACCTGCCGGAAACATGAGCCTCGTCCCAGAAATGCGGACAACCAAGGAGAGATGGCTCAAAGGAATCCCAGCCGGGATACAATTCTCACCCTAGGGTCTTGTAGTAAACACAAACTCGGACAGCAAATGCCCCCGCGAGAAGGAATAGTGCCGAAGATCCTGACTGGTTCCAGGAAGTCTTCTGGGAAGTTGGAATTGGGATTATAAATCATAAACCATTAAGCTTTTGACCCCTGGGGAAGGATAGAACGCGTGGCTGGAAACTGTTTTAGAGCGCTGAGAAGGTGTGCCTATTTGTTGCGTATCCGACCTCCTCCTGGAGCACCTTCATGGGTGCTAGGGAGCAGGTTCGAAATATGAGCAGTTCAGAACTGTGTGTAAATGTGTATGGAAATGTTTTTTCCAAGCTTCACAGAATTAGAAGGAGAGATGAAATCAGGAAAGATTTCCAGCACCACCCATGTAACCTGGTACTGCACGCAGAAATCTGCGTGTTTCCTAAACTCCCCATGTGATACTTAGTAGGCTTATGTTTGAGAACCTTTTCATAGGGTTTCTCTGGTTAACTGCCTATCACTTTTCTCAAAAATAGGATAGCTAGTTGACAACCTGTAATCCAGTTTTGGAGCCAAGAAGTTGCTTTTTCTTGCAATAAACCATCCTTTGAGATAAGCTTGGCCTTGAGAGGGATTGAGGGTATATTGAGGTCACAGGGGACCCACAAACGTGAGAGGATCAGGAATCCTATCTATTCAATACCACAGAACTATGATACTAGCTAACACAGTGACTCAGCCCTTTGGATGATAGAACCCTCTCTCCCTCATAAGTGCCCTCCACCTACGGAAAACACACAGCATGCTAACCAGGTAGGCTAAGCTTCAAAGGTAAGGTCTGCCTTCAACAGCAGATTCCCTTCTAACAGGAAGGCACTGAGAAGCTTTACCTAGACCTATTCCTGCGATATTGTAACTCTTTCTATATATATAAATAGAACCGTTCCTGTAGATTCCTGAATAAGTCAGAGGAAAGGTCTTTCTTAAATAGAGCTAACACAATTCAGAAAAGGACTGGAAATTAGATCCAGTTGGATCTAAGTTGAGTTGATCCCTAAGCAGGATTTATCTTTGAAATAAAAACAAAGAAGGGAAAGTTCAGATAACTCATCAGTAATCGGGAAGACTAGTTGAATTCTCATTTCCTATGTCAAAAGTAAGTTTAAGTACCCTTGTAAAGCAAACCAGAAGAAAACAGAGTATTTGTTTAACCTCTAGCTAGAAGTATTTCTCACCTAAGAAGCAAAAGAAGAAAATGATGTGGATATGACTGGGTAGTATCTTAAAATGCATCAAGCATTGTTTTAAAAGGCAACCTAAACCAGGGAAAGAATATTGACAGCAGACATGAAAAAAAGTCTGAATGTCTGTAAGTAGGGCTCATATAGCTGAAGCTAAATATGAAATCTCAATGATTGAGTATAAACAGAAAACAAACTATATACAAACAAATATGAATAGTAATAAATATACGGTGAAAATCAACCTTACCAGTAATAGAAATAGACATTAAAACAAATTAATGATAGGGGGCCTCTGGCTGGCTCGGTCAGGTGAAGCATGCAACTCTTGACCTCAGACTCATGAGTTTGAACCCCACGTTGGGTGTGCAGCCTACTTAAAAAGAATGAATGAATGAATTAATGAATAAATAAATAAATAATTTTTTTTAAAAAATAATTACAAATGTATTAAGATAATGAGCACTGGTTTCCTCATTCGTTGCTGGTCCTTGTGAAGGGATATCATGCATTTGGAAGGCATTTTGGCTGTGTGTCCCAGGTCAGGGAGTGCCTACACTTTGACTCAGCAGTCCGACTTCTGGGAATCTAGCCAAAGAAATACTCCAAAATATGGGGAAAGTTATATACTGCAATTTGTACATCATGGCAGTATTTATATTGAAGATTTGGCCACAGCTTAAAGATCCTGGGGTAGGGACTATGGCCGTGTCCTTGTTGCCACCTGAACCTGGACCATAATGTTACTTCATGTTTTTTGCCTGTGCCCATGTCATTCTTGCCTCTGCCTAAAACACTCTCCTTGCCCTTTGTCTGCAAGCTGACTCCTCTTACTTATCCTCAACACTTTTTAGCTCCAGTGTGGTTAGCATGCACTGTTATATTAGTTTCAGGGGTACACCATAGGGATTCAACAATTCTATGCCTTGCTCAGTGCTCATCACCATAAGTGTGCATTTAATCCCTTTCACTTATTTCACCCATCCAGCATTTGCAAGGTTCTTTCTTTTGTTCCCTCAACACTTCCTACATTCTTCCATTTTGCACTAGGAGACTACCTGTAATTACTTGTTTCCCTGCCTGTCTGCTCCACTCTGCTGTGACTCCTTCAAGGGTGTGGTCCATCTCCTTTTAATTTTAGAATCACTAGCGCCTTGCTTATGTGGCAGGTGCTTGATAAATATTTTTTTAACGAATGAATCATTTACTCAAACATTTTGCAGCCATTAAGGACAATGATTATAAAGAGTATGTGGCAATATGAGTAATTATAATGTTAAATTTCCAGGGCACTGTATATGGAATTATATCAAAGTAATATTGTTAAATGAATTGCAAAAAAGTGCAAAACAGGATACACAATGGGCTGCCATTTTGTAGGGGAAGAAAAAGAGCGTTGACAAAGGAGACTAGAAGCTTTGTATACACACATATTTCTGGTTAATGGGTCGGTCATCTACAGAAGAAAATAAGAGACATTGATAATAGAGGTTTGGGGTGGGGTTGGGGAGCACACTGGAAAACTAAAAGATATGATACAAAAGAGACCTGCTGTATATTTTAATATACCCTTTTGTTTTTGAAATGTGTACAATGTGGATGATATAACTGTTTTGAAAAATAGATCACCCTACAAAAATTTTATGCAATTGGATGAAATAAGTTAGGAGTCAATTCTCAATAAATAATAACAGTTGTTGGTTGTGGGATTGTGGGTGATTTTGTTTTCATGTCTCTGGCTTCCAATTTTTTTTTTTAATGTAGCTATATTGCTTTTACAGTTACAAAGATAAAATTAAAGAGACTAAACAATTAACTAAATAATCATTGTATTTATTTCATCACAACTTCCTCACTTCTCCTTAAATTTTGATCTATCTTAAGAAGAAAAGAAGAACAGTTTTCTCCCTGGAGACTCTTATGGTCATCTCCTCTATAATTCTGAAGTTGAAAAATGGTTAGTAAGTTTAACTACCAAAAAGTTAACCAGTCTTTCAAATAGCAGTGAGAACATGTTAAATAGGTAAAGCATGTTCTTCTAACAGTTGCAGAGCTGAACAGCAAGATATGACAATAGCATTGTACCACATTTAAGACACCAAATTTAATGAGCTTGTCTGTCTCTGTTTTACTCGTCTTGCCCACTTTTCTGCCTCCCTCCTTTCCCTTTTACTGTCTCTGATCCTCTAGTCCTTTTTTTTACTTCTATGCAACCAGCACAGCTGGTTACCTCCCCTCCCCCATTGCCTCCTTCCTCTCAGAAC